TTTTTTTTTTTTTTTTTTTCTTTATGCGCGCCGACTTGTGTGCGTACGTACGTGCGTGCGTGTGTGGATGTATATATGTGTTTGATAATCGAGACGCTCTGCCATTAATGTAAGATGATTATACGCAATTATGTTAATTAAAGTCGTTGAACGCAAATGTTTTGTCATCACCACAGCACAGAGTCTTTCCTTCGATGATAATACACTCTAATTTATCAATTAGAATAATTTTTTTTCTATTCGTGGTTTCCAGATTTTAATAACGTTAATTTTTAATTTGATTTATATCATTTCCTCTCTCGTATGACAAAATAACCAGACTTTTTTAATATGCAAGCTTTTAAATATGATTTATTACGCGTGTCTGGAAATAACTATTTATTTTCATTGGCGCATTACGCTCGAAAGCGACACATGTGCCAATTAATTAGACGAGCCAAAAACAGCGACTTAATAAATATTTAGGTTCGGGAGATTTTAATTCATCATTATCAGAGTATAGGGATAAATATTTAAAAATTTCGACGATATTTTATAGTATTTGATATCTTACAATTTCTTCGGATGTAGGTAGATTTTCGCGACACTGCGTTGATAACGCGTATTATATGCCGCGTGCAATCGTCGACGCGATTAACTATTACCGTCATTAAGAAACCGCAGTAATTCTTGGATGACGTTTACCTTTGGTATGCCGTCTGTTCGTTTTCCTCGAGTCGCAACAAAAGCCGCGCGTTGCTTGCGCGAAACACAACATTATGTTAAACATTTGCGGTATCAAATATGATAAATGGAATTATTGCTAATTTAGCACTTCTAAGTTTTCTTCGTAAGAAAGGATAAATCCTTGCAAAGGTCATACAATGAATTAACATTGGCGTGGAATTATTTTATATAAATTGAAAGCGTATATATTAAAAAGATTTAAATATTTTTTTTTATCAGTTTAATCGAAAATACAGACGAAACTATAGAGAGAAATAATTTTCAATCTCCTTTTTTTCGACTCCGTTTGTATATACTAGATTTAAGATAACATATACGAGCTACATTATTACGGCCAATTGAATTGATCGATTTGAAACATTGTGTTCCAGAGGTGGCAACGGTCTCGTCAGGAAGTGTCAAAACTGGCGTGTGGGGCGGTGGAGTCAGCTGTGGTCTGGCTCTGATTCCGGTGGTAGCGGCGGAAGCGGAAGCCGCGAAGGCAATAGCGAAGGCAGGAGGCGAGGAGGTGGGGCCGGGAGAAGTTGCTGGTAGCCCCGATTTTGTTAGAAGACGGTGCAAGCTTCATCCTCATCCCCATCATTTTCATCTATCTCTTCTTCTTTCACCTCGCATCTTGCCTTACGGAAGTGATAGATTCGTAAGCGTTCGCCAGCGGCCACCAGAAGAACTGTCGACGGCGTGACACCGGCCCCGCGATCGGCCTTCCTCCCGCAGAGGAGTAAGCGCCGCACAGACAGGAGTCACCGCCATCCGTCATCATCGTAGAAATTACATTCTGTGAGCCCTCTCCGAGGCGAGGCGAGACGAGAGAGGAGAGAGCTTCCTCAGCCTCCCCCTCTGCGCGCGCGACGTCCTAGTATTTCGGCCCCGCTAACGGCCGCTCATAAGCCTCGCGCGTCATCTGTCAGACACCATGAACGAGCTCGACAGTCTTCGTCAGGAGGCGGAGACGCTGAAAAATGCCATCCGGGTAAGTACCCGGACTTTCCTTACTTCAAGATTGTTTTTCCTTTTTTTTTATCTATTGTATAAAAGATATATTTAAAAAAGAAAAACATGTAATTCTCTCAAAATTTTCGAAAGATATCAAAGTTACAAAGAAAACACAACTCTAATAAATAATTATTTATTTTATTATGATATCTCTAATTGAATTTGTTAAAGTAAAAATAGATTGCTTGTGTGCAATTATGATATGAATACTAAAGCAAATTTATTAGATTGATACAATTTAACTCTATAAAAAAAAAATCAAAATGACTTATTTTTATACTTCAGATTTTGCAATTTTATGTCTCTCTTCCGCCTTTCTCTATTTCTGACGTTATCGTAAATTTTAACCGATAGAAGATATATTCATCTACTTCTTCTTCTTTTACCTCGTTTATATGGCGAATGTTTTTTGTATAGTTGTGAGGATATGGAGCTGGCTAGGTGGTGGTAGTGTGGTGGTGGTAGGGCGCGGCATAACCGTCGCTTCTCTGATCAATACGCCACCGTCCCTCTCTCTCTTTCTCACTCCATGTCTTGTTACTTCTCTCCATGTATTCGTCTCTCTTTCTTCTACGCGCTCCCCTCATCCCTGCCTTTTCCTCTTATACATGTATAAAATGCACGCGCTCGCACGGTATGCGCGGAAATATGCGCTTACGTTAAAAGGAATACGCTATCGGTCTTGTGTCTGCTAATTATTTATGACGCGTACAGCAACGTTGTTTAGCAAATAAAATTGCCAGTGTACATTGCGCAACAACATATATGCATACATCATAAATGTTAATTTATTTCCTTTGATTGCGCATAACAATTTCGTATAATTAATATTTTTGATATCGTCTTGTCATTAATATATTTTTTTTGATATTTCTTATTAAATTTTTAAATTTATCAAATTATTTTATTGAGAATCAAATCATTATTGGTAAAGCAAATTACAATTACAATTACATTGTATTTAAATCACATTACGATCAATCAGATTTAGCGCAGTTTTATTATAGACATTAATATTCTTTAAATATATAAATTAATGTATAATAAATTAATATATAAATATATAAATTAATAATATCTTTACTATAAAGGTAAGAAGTTATATCCGACTAGTATTAAGTCACTCTAAGTGTACTACTGCATTACGATTGGATCTTAAAGGTCAACTTAAAGGCAAAATTGCGGCATAATATCGGACTAAAGACACGCGAGCACCGTCGACAATTCACCGGAATCCTTTTTCTCGTTCCGTAACTTCCTTTTTCTAATTCCTTGAAATTCATGGAAATTTGCAACAGCCTGTTCGATCGTTTGACCTTTTGTATTGAATTTGTGTATACACGGGCATGACATTAAATGAAATTTTTACGTGCAATTTATTAAATTTTTACGGCGATATGCATTATACTACCCGGCATCTTCTGATTAGAATGTTGCTTTAATATGAAATCTTCAAGTTTTAATTATCACTAAATACATTATAGCAGTGTAGATAAGATCTCGCGACTAACGATAATGGCTTACATGCTTGTTGCGGACATGATACATGTTAGATATCAAATGCGAGAAATAGATGCCGACGTAAATTTACAAATTTGTATATGATTTTATGTCGCAGGATGCCAGGAAAGCAGCATGCGACACGACTTTGGCCCAGGCCACATCGGGCATGGAACCTATCGGTCGCATACAAATGCGTACGAGACGTACGCTTCGCGGTCACTTAGCTAAGATTTATGCGATGCACTGGGGAAGTGACTCCAGGTATGATGTTAGATGCAGATGATTAGATGATGATACATTGGCGTCTAAAAATTTGAACGTAAATAAGATTTTATTTATGAATTTTGTGTGAAAAACAAGATTCGAGAAAACAAAGAACGTACACTCAAAAAAATGTCTTGCTGATATAGGTAGATTTCTAGGTGTCACAGCAAAAATTTATCGCTATTTTTTGTATCTGTTAGAATATTGTCTGTTACATATAGAATTTATAGCAGCAACATTCTAATAATATCTTCTAGAAAATTTAGGTCCCATTGCCAAATGTTAATCACTGCATTGGATAAATATGAGTTTCGATACTACAGCTAAACGATCTTTGTGAGAAATATAATTGCCAATTATAACTGCAGCATCGAAAAATTGAGAAAAATTGTTTAAAAGAGCTAGATAGATTGAGCGCGTTATACAAATATGTTAGACGTGAGGATTATATATTCATTTGTTTCTTGCCGCTAATCTTTTCTGTATACCACAGCCAAACTTTATAACAAGTATGATTGGCCTTAACATGGATAGGCGCCCCACAGAAAAACATTCTTTCTAAATTTCACAAACAGTTCAGATATAAATTCTGTCTCTGTCACTTAGATTGATTAAATGCGAAACATATGCGATATCACAGTATTTGCTAATCATTTATGTACCTCAGTTAATTTTGCGCACCCAGAAAATTTTTGCTGTAGTTGCAATACCACTTTTTTGAGTGATAGATATTTGCAACTATTGCTTAGATATATATTTATTTATACCGTAAAACTTAAAAATTTGAAAAGTAATGAGAAGATATTAAGATAGAGAAAGATTTCGCTCTCCTATCTTCACACTACGTTTTTATCAGCATATTTTTTTTGTATTTTCCATACATAGGAATCTAGTCTCCGCATCGCAAGACGGCAAACTGATCGTTTGGGATAGTTATACCACCAATAAGGTTCACGCTATCCCATTGCGGTCCTCATGGGTAATGACTTGTGCATACGCGCCCTCGGGTAGTTACGTCGCGTGCGGTGGGCTGGACAATATCTGTTCCATCTATAGCCTTAAAACTAGGGAAGGTAACGTGCGGGTGAGCAGAGAACTCCCCGGTCACACTGGATATTTATCCTGCTGTCGGTTCTACGACGACAACCAGATCGTCACCAGTTCCGGCGACATGTCTTGGTAAGTAAGTCTAGAAATTTACTAGAGGTCAATGATAATTGCTATAATAAAATTTCATGTATATTTTAATATTAACTTTAATATATAAAATTCAATTTAAGTTGCATTAATTTTTTTTCTTGCATTTCTTATAATTTGAAAGCACATATTAAAAGATTATGAATATATTTATATAAAAAAACAAATCTCTCGATTATCTACTAAAAAAAAAAAAAAAATGAGAAGCATTTATGAGTGAAACAAGAGTTCAATAAAAAATATAGAAAAATCTCATTTCTTCCTACTCCTTATCCCAAATTTCTTCCATTATTAAATGCAATCCTGAAGACATCTGAAGATTGTTTATCCGGCGCGAACTAGAATGCTGAATTGTTCTGACTCAGTGCTCTATGGGATATCGAGACCGGCCAGCAGTGCACCTCGTTCATCGGGCACACCGGTGATGTTATGTCTCTGTCGTTGGCACCGGATACACGCACTTTCGTATCTGGCGCGTGCGACGCCAGCGCGAAGTTATGGGATATTCGCGAAGGATCCTGCAAGCAGACTTTTCCGGGTCACGAGAGTGACATAAACGCCGTAACGGTGAGATACTTTTTATTAAGCGAATAAATAATTATCTCGTTTCGTGATGTTACTACTAATGTATTATCGAAAAAAGGATTTATTATTTTTGACGGTTTGATTTATTATTATTTACAGTTCTTCCCGAACGGATATGCTTTCGCGACAGGCTCGGATGATGCGACCTGCAGACTTTTCGATATTAGGGCAGATCAGGAACTCGCGATGTACAGTCACGACAATATCATTTGTGGTATCACCAGCGTAGCTTTCAGCAAGAGCGGTAGATTATTGCTGGCGGGCTACGACGATTTCAATTGCAATGTTTGGGATTCCATGAAGACGGAACGAGCTGGTAAGTTGAACTGGAATCTTGCGAACGATAATCTCCTCAAGAGAGAAGAGAGATTTCATTTGAGGTCCTTCTCTCGATGATGGTTTTTTTTTATAACGTTTATTATTTCCAATAGCTGTGTGTGTAATCAGATAATATTGTTATCACTACTTTACTAAAAATACATTTGTCGGAAACTCTATTTTCTAGGAATTCTCGCTGGGCATGACAATCGCGTGTCTTGTCTTGGCGTTACGGAAGACGGCATGGCAGTAGCGACGGGTTCTTGGGATTCGTTCCTACGCATTTGGAATTAACTTGGGGCTTTTCCCAGGACGTTCCTTCAAAGAACCAACTACAGTCAACCAGCATACAGCATAAGAATCAAGTACCATCATCTGACCACTGAGCAAATCGGCGTGCCATCAGTCACGACGTTGGCGAATAATCCGCCAGGTTCACCGGAGTTGACGCTGATTAGAAACTTTGGATACTCGATTAGTAGCAGCAGCAGCGGGAGCAGCAACAATAACAATTACGATCGTAGAAAAGCCCACGACAACAATGGCGGTGGTAACAGCAGCGGCGGCGAATTTAAGAATGTTTTGGATTGTGGTGGTAAAAAAGACTCCCGCAACAGGCGCATCGTAGTCGACTTGACCAGGCGACATAGTAAAGTTGGCGACAAGGACCACGAATATCAACGCTTCTAAGAAGAATCTAAGTTCCAATTGGGTCGAAAACATATTGTTGCCGAAAAATGTGCGGCAGAGGACAAGAATCGAGAACGAGCGCCGACAACAAGACCGACAGCCAAGAACTTTCGGCGGCATCGGGCACGCATTTTCTTTTTCTCCTCCCCTTTCTCAAGGACTTTCTTCGCGAATCTTCGAGAGGCATGTGCTGTTCTACGGCTTTGATAATTCTTTTCCCACGGGGGTATTCCCAGTCAAGGATTTCAAAGTTCGAAGGACGGACTACAATCTCGTGCCGACGATCATCAAGAGATTTCCATCTCGAATCAAGGTTCAAGCGTTCACTGCCGAGAAGGCGCCGTTAACGACTGCTCTGGCGATTGGCTGCGAGTTACTTTTCCCGATACACGATTGTATCGGGCGAGATAGGATATGCAACCATGGATATTGCGTCGCAAGCCGGAAATAAAAAACCAACCAAAGGTCGTGATAGTCCCGCAATGATGCGTTCGAGTCATATGACGCACACTGAACGCACACGTGTATTAATGGAGATTCACAAAGACACGAATTGCATATACTTGCACACAAAAGCGCGAGTGGTCGAATAAATATAGGGAAGATGTGGATCGTTCACCAGCAGCCTCGAAATACATTCAAGTCGCACACACTTGTCACGTGAGCTTTGCCCTCGTGCACGAGCATCGAGCGGCCAAGCGAGGAAAAAAGAATAATGAGATGTCACTTTTTTTAACACGATAATACGCCGACTTCGCACCGCTATAATTACTACTATTATTACTATTATTATCACGATCCCCTCGATGAATTTTGTAGATGTATCGTTATTTATTTTGTATAGACTTCTGCCATAGGCCGCCCTGCGCCTGCGATTTTTGCGAGTGCGAGAGCGATTGAGCATGTAGTAAAAGAGAGTGAACGAGAATTATGAGAGCGTGAGAACGAGAGCGCGAGAGGCGCGCGGCCCATTGCCAATCAAAAAAAAAAAAAAACGAGGAACGGGACATGAGACACGAAACACGCGGATAAAGCGGACATTAAATACAGAGAGAGGATGCTTCTTTGATAAATAATTCGTAATATGACGGTTTGGTACATGAAGACGTCGACGGATCACATTCGTGGAAAATTACAAGAAGACGAGAAGTGACGGATCAGTGAGCGAGAAAGCAGACCAGGTATTGAATTTCGTCTGTTTTTTCATTGCGATAGAGTTACAAGCGCGTAAAGCGACGGACCAGCGTAACGTGTCAAGTAACGTTTAATGTAACGTGTATTTGTTTAGTTTATAGTGTCTATACCTTAACCTTTCCCTTCATCCTCGATCCAATTATCCCTGATTATGGCAACAGCGGGAAGGAGAAAAAGAATTAATCTTCGACTATGTCTCGACGAAGTCTCGTATCTCTTCCCATTATCGATTCAGCGCCAATTAATCCTCGTGCACGAGGCAGGCACGTGCTCTCGATCGAAAGAGTCGTGCTAGAAATTTCCTTGAAATAGGACCCAAAGAATCGGAGGTTGAATGAAAGGACCGCGAGACTAAACTCTTCCCCTCCCTCCTCCTCCTCCCTTTCTATCTCATCATTATTTTTTTTTACACCATCTCTTCGCTCATCATGCTTTTTGTTTATCACGGTCTTTTTCGTAAACTCGTATTTGTACTTTTTCGATAACTTTTAAGCTCACTTTATATCCCTCTTTTTTCTGCGATATACCATCATTTTCCTCTCCCATCCCTGCCTGTTCTGTCCTTTTTTGTCGGAAATAGATGTTGAAACTGTGTATGCATTTAAAAATAATATTAATGATAACGATTATATAATATTAATATTAACGATGATTGTAATTTATAATTATTAATATTTAATATATAAGTACATAAGGTCGATGGTTCTTTAATATCGCAGGATTATGATCCAATCGCCTTCCGGCAACCACGCTCATAGTTATTACGCACCGCATCCTATTTTTAGTTTGATGAGAAACAAATATCTCAAATTGATGGGAATTCCGTGCATTTTTGTTTTAATAAATGAAAACAACATAATTTATATATGTTAGAAGTCGTTGCGTATCATGATAGAAATTTTGAAGAATGTATCGAAATGTGCCGGTTGGCTAAAATCACGAGTATTGAAGGAAACAAGCGTGGATTCCGGAAAGCGACTATTTCTTCGAAAGATTCTTCGAAAAACTTCTTTCCCAGTGGAACAAACCATGTAATTTGGCTAGCGGAGCAAGCGAGTACCAATGAGAACTTTCGAGAAACGTTGCAAATTTTTTCGAACATTTGACATTTCGTAAAATTGGTTCTTTTTTTATACACACATATAACTCTTCGCGACTAATCTCGCTTACATAATGCTTTGTACATGTTAAATGTCAAACGAGCAAAAGATCTTTCTCCGTCTCGAAAGAGAAGATCCTTGTTCCTTCGAGATTCTTTGTATTATTAAGAATTCTTCCAAAGTTCGATTCGAAAAGCGAGAGACAGAAGCGTGATTAAAATGGCCGCTTTTCGGTCTTTCCGGCGTAACTTCGAAACGATATCCATGCGAAAAGGAACAATCTAATAGCAGAGAATTATGAAGGAAGAGGAGACTTTAATAAGCAGATTAATGGAAACAGATCTGTGCTTATTGCATTTCGCGATTCCGTGGCTTCTCCTCGAGGGGGCTCTCACAATCTTTTTGTACCTCGAAGCCTTGGAACGATATGGTTTCTTATCCTTGGTACGAATAAGAAAAAAAATATAATAGCTCTATCGACGAATCTAATGCAAAATTGACAAATTATTAAGCCTCTAGTCATATTAACAGCACGCGCGCAAATAGAAGAATAGCAGGTGAAACTTTGTAAGCAGATACCTTTTTCTAAAATCTCTTTCTTGTCTCCTTGTTTGCGCGAACAAGATTATGAGAAAGCCGACTTTAATTTGTTTATCTTTCTCAGAAAATATGGCACACACGGTAGATTAATTGCGACGCAAGAGGAAAGATAACGGCGAGAAAATAACTGATGAAATCAGCCTTTTCTTTTTTTGAGCCTTTAAAAATATATATAAGATGAATAAAAATACTTGGGAAAAGAATCAAACGTGGCGTTTCCGTTATTTTTTTATCGCTTCTTCGCTTTCTGTTCCCTCCCTCCGTAAGCAATATACTTGCACACTTTATAGTTTCACTATCCCTATAATTCTTTTATGCTTTGGTTTTGAACGCGCGAATATTTATTTTTGCTAAATCGTTAATCTCGTAAAGTAACATCCTGCTAAGGCGAGTGGTCTACGAGATAATGTGATGTTGGGTCCTATTTCAATTATGGAATATAATCGTCACTCTAGTATAAACATATAGTTAATATAAAGGGGAAAAAGGAGGAAAGAAAGGGAAGAAACGCGAAGAATATGCCGACGACACTTTCGTGACTTGTTTTACGATGGACGACGAGAAGCCGTCAGGAATACTGCCTCTTTCAAGTTATGCACAAAAAAAAAGAATAAATTACGATATGTAGTACGTGTATTATACATAAAAAAAATACATTAAATAACCGTGCAAACCACTGTTAAAGTTTAAAAAGAAAGAACGCGCAAGAGGACGTGGCCGTGCGACGTGCAAGACAACTAAAGACGTGGAGTGAAAAGTGCATCGATGAAGATCGAGTGCAAAGTACATATATCGGTGAACATTAATCTCGGGAGAGGAACGTACATTCACTCAGTAACTGAGAGCAAAACGCGTCTTCACTGTTAAATGGTAGATAGTTACAAAGAGATTTCATCACTTTTTTATATATAAAAAGATTATATATATATATATACGTATATAAAAATAATGATAAATAATTAATCACTATTGACAGTTAGCCTAGGTCATTTCGCCTATAGTCATTTGCCATGGAGGACATTCTTACGAGGCATGCGAAAATTCCAAAAATCAATTTCAATTGGCTAAATTTTTCTATAATATCAACGAACAACATACACACTAACTTACTAATTAAATAAATTGTTCGTTTTTTTTTTTTGCGATATAATCGTCATATTTCGGAGACCTCGTGGATGTGTCCCTGTCGCGGAATTCATCGTCATTCGCATTCTTCGTTAGGAAGAATTGTTTCGGAAGAGAATTACAATCTGTTCACGGATAATAAGAAGAAAGACGCGAATTTCATTGAGTTATAGATGGATAATTGTTGCATTCGAATTGGAGTCAAATTTCAAAGTTTTTCTTTCTCCCTACATCGGGTTATTCCATTCCATTTAAATGTTTTTAATATAAAAATATCTTTACACATACACACACTTATATACGCATTATTTTTACCGCAATAAGCTACGCTGGCTTTCGGTATCTGTTTATATCTACACTTTCACACAGAAAACTTATCAGAATAATATAACGTCTGATTACATTCCGCAATAGAGAGAAGTTTACGCGAAATATAATCTGGAAATGATTCTTTCAAGCACAAAAGTCATCTGTCTGTATTCATTCATTATCAGGTAAATCATCTACGTAGAAAAAAAGAAAACGACATAGCTCATCTGTACGGTAACCGCAATTAAGGATGCATGGTTCATAATTAGTATCATGATATCAACTCAGAGCGTCATTATATTTACATCTCCCGTCGCGGTTTTTAAAATTCCGCAAAGTAAAAATTGAGCCAGACGGGGGCGATTGATTAATTATTTTATTTCATGAAACTGCGAGATTTGCATGTGAAAGAGATTGCAGTACGCGAGAGCTGTTTAGTTCTTTCGCGTATCTTTCTCTGTGCATATTTAAGAGATTACGAAGAAAAGAAAATAGAAACTTGACAAATGCGTTTCGGCGGAATATATCTAAAAAAATCTGCAATTAAAATAGAAGCTATGCGAATATATGCTTTATCGATCGCAAGAGAAAGTGAATACTAATTACGTATTTATTTACATCTCACACATTTTAATTATTTAATTGCGTATTTAAATGCGTAACGCTTATTAAATATGCCCAGAGAAACTGCATCGCAAATGTCATACGTGTCAAAAAGACGACGAGCGTACGAGGGTCACGTTTGCATAGTGTTCGATAATAATATCTTTCGATTTCAATATCGTATCCTAAGTCATTTATAGTCATCGACGCGCGCGCGATTTTTTTAAGCACATACATACGTAAATATACCTAAGAGGGTGTGCAAACGAAGTGCGTATCCTTTTAAGCGAATCGCGAATTCGAAACACGAGCTTTTGTTACTACTTGTAAACTCGATTCCTTCGCAGCATTTCTCATTAACATTAACGTGATTCTATAATAATGAGCCGACATTCTAATAAGGGAACGGCATTTTTTAGAATTTCATTACCTAGACATGGTTATGGTTTTGTAAAGTTTCCTTTAGGCGCGCCTTGAATCGTCTAACGATTTTTACGTAATTTTATTGTAAACTTAGTGCTACGAAGGTCTGGTTCGTTCGATCTGCAATCATGAAGGAGAAAAACGGGAAACTGATAAACTCGTATTTTTACGCGCTTTAACTTTTTCACGTTTCTTAATTGTAACAATGTTTAAGATTAAAAAAAAATATTTTAGCAAGTTTTTAATATCAGATACATAAATATATAACGTTATTCACGATGATATTTATTGGAACATATCTTTGAAATAAAAAAGAATATTTATTCGTATATTTTTTCAACATAAATTCGGTATATTGCTTTATTTATTTCCTTTTAACTCAGTTTTTTGCAATATTACAATGACAATCTTAATTAAAAAATGATTATCGAAGTACAAAGCTTATCAGAATTTATCGGCGAGAACGCTCATTAAACGCGCTCTTGTAAGAAATAAGAATCGCATCGCTTTAGTTATTATAACTCACGACGAAGCTTCGTCCGAAACGGGAACAAAAGTAAGGGAACGGCGAAAGAAGATTTATTTTTATTGCATCAGAGCAAAAGACTGACGCGCGTTTTTTTAATCAAGTCAAAGTGAGATTGAGCAATCTCTTATATAATAAAAACCAAACTGCAAAAGAAAAAAAAAAAAATACAGAGAACGTGACAGGGGTGTGACAAAGTTCTGTTGCTTCTACTTCGTGATTGCAAATTACGATGACCGGAATTATATGTCTGTTACGGTGTCGCGAGAACAATTGCTTCTTTTTTATGCTGTTGAGAAACAAAACCGAACATAAGGAGCATCTTTTCTGACAAAAGCGCTGTTCGATTTTGTTATCGACGAAACTGTACGTAATCGACGATGAGAAGTCGATGGTGGCCCTACGATGAGGGACAAAAAAAAAGAAGGAGAAACCAAAGCGGCGAACTTTCCAACTTTTTGGAAAGAGAAACACTTAGTGCGTAAGATACTCTCTGTATAACGTAAGTCATAAGTCGTAAAATGTAAGGGCTGTAACGCATCAACTAATCATTAACCGCGACGGAAACAACCGGCACACAACTATTATCACGATAACGATACGATAGTACGAGGGGATAAGCCCAAAGAGACGTATGTGCAGGGTGTCGATGAAGCGTTTGATCGATGAACGCGGCGAAGATCGCGCTTTCAAATCAAAGGAAATCTCTTCGTGAAAACTCGCCCCAATTTTCTCAGTCTCGATCATCGATCGTTCTTTATCGACACCCTTGATACGTTTTAAAGAATAACTTACAATTAGAGAGCAAACGAGAATGCGAGCGAGAGAGAAAAGAATTATCTATGAGAGAATACAAGTAAACTATGTAAGAATGAGTGAGAAAAAGAAAACAAAGATACATACAAAGAAAAAAAAAAGAAAAAAAAACAGAATACCAAATTTTATTTCTGCGTGCCTGTGCGAAGAGGACAGCGAGGTGATATATACGTGCATATTTATAAATCTATTACTATAAACGATCTTAGCGGAAGGCATGTAATCCGTACGCTTGTTTGAGAGAGAAGGAGAGGGGAGGAATACACGTTCCTTATTATTTCCTACACAGATATGTTGTAAACAGAACGGGAGACGATGTGAAAAAAAAAAAAAAACAGGGAGTCGAGACTCGAGAAAGGAAGAATGGGGGAGGAGAGACAATTTCGTTATATGCGGCATCACTCTATATAAATATAGTATAATATCAAGAGCTTTTTGCCAAGTGACAAGGTGGTTAGCTTCTGCGGGTATAAACGGTCCATCTGAAATCTTTCTGGAGGCCACAGGCTGAATAAGAGACGAAAAGGGTAAAGAGATAATATATTTAAACGTGACAGACTATCGTTTCTTTCGCGTGCGACCGATTATCATTGCGCATATAATTACGGATTAATTATTATTACTATTATTAATTACGGCCCATTGACATCACCGCTATCGCGTCTCATTATTATGATTATTATTATTATTATATAATTGATGTGAGTGTGGAACACAAAAATAAAGTGTACGTAGTAGAAGGTCGATCTGTTCCACCACCTGTCTCGTTTCTTTCTCATTTCAAATTTTTGTAATCCTCGAATTCACAAAATCGATCTTAAATCAATGGTAAAGTATTTATTTCAAATGGAAGAATAAGAAAAAGCTTTTGTGTCGAACATATTACAAACTTAAACTAGCGAATGTATTTTCATCTACGACGAATCGTGTAAAGACACTTGCTTTCCTATAAATAGTTTTTGTCAGTTTTACACTTTATCCGATTGACGTACATGAAGCACATATTATTAACTGCGATTATCGATTTGAGAATAATATAGTAAAAGATTATAATTCGTTCTGGTCTTCCTGCGCAACTTGCATCTCTATACTTTTTTTCATATTCATCGTGGTAGTTTCGCGTTTCTCCTTTGGCAATATACACTCTTCTTTGCATTCTGTGTTGCCTAATGTACGCGACGTTGAAAACACTTCGACCTTTATTCCCTCTGTCAAGTTAATTGCGCTTTCTTGATTAATGTGATTTTCAGAATCTTCAGACATCATAATCGTCTCCTCGACCGACCCGAAGACAACCTGCTAAGGTAATATTACAAAATAATATAAGATATTTAATGAATTATTTATATATTCGAAAAATTTTAAAGAAAAGTGCGGAAAAAATTATATAATGTTTATAGGTATTTAATGTGCAATTGTTTTTTTTTTTTTTTGCTACGTACTAACATCTTTTTTTTGACAATAATCGAAAACATTTTGAGAGGTGTGTCTTTCTTTAATTTCTTTCTGTTCCAAAGTTGATTTAGAATCCTTAGAAATTTCAGGATTTTCAGAAATCACTTCAATCAATGGTTTAACTGGTTTCTTTATCGGATATTCTGTTTTCTGTACTGATTTATCGTCAGGTAACTTTTCTTTTGATTTTTCTTCTCTGTCCATCGTGAAATCTGACTTAATCAGCAGTTTCTTTTCGCTTTCTAATTTGTGCAGATGATCGCAAAATTCTTTGTAAAGCGATACGTCAGCATTTATGGCCGATGATTCCGACTCATAGATGCTTTCAGACTGTTGCAATATATTGGCAAGCGATTTAATATCTAAAAAATATTTTTATATTAGTAAAATATTTGTAATATATTTTTTTACATTTTTTTATTTACATACTCTTACCAGAATCATTAACTGATGCTGAATCATTGGCAGATTCCGAATTAATAGTTTGCTTTAATTCTTGTTTTCCAGACTGTACGCTTGTTACATCATTAGATTTGTTGTCATATTTAACGGGCCAATTTTTTCGTTCGCCAGAATCACCTGCGGGTTTATTAAAATCTATTTTCGAAACTAAACCGGACGGCAAATATTCACCGAGACTTCGCCGATCGTATTTATGATATTGCGATTTTCCGTCTACATTTTCTGGGTCTTTTATCAGATTCGTTATGCATTTATCGATCAGCGGCGATACTTTCTTCGCGAATTTCTTCGTCTCTTGTATCACGTGCTGTCTGCATTTTTCAGAGATTTGACTGCGGGATTTGCGTTCCTCCGACTTTCTTCCGGAGTGTATTTCCTTAATAAGGAAGGATTTCTTGTTATTTACTTCGATATCTTCGGCTTCGCGAGTTCTTTTGCCAGTCAGTCTCAAAGACGGCTGATTCGTTCTTCCCAGAGTTAAGCGATCTATCGCTCGGACGAGCGATTCCATTTGAGAATTAGATTCCTCGATACCAGCTGATAATTTCTGCTCGCTGTTTGACATTTCAATTTTAGCGGAAGATTTTTCTATTTTATCAATGATTTTCTCGTTCCCGCAAATAAGATCATTGCGCTCTTTGTTTGAAATTATTTTCTCGCAACAGTCATTTAAATCGACATTTTCATTCTTACTCGAATCGATAATTTTATCACAGTTATCTTCTGCGTTGGATAATTTTAGTACTTTTGGTGACCCTTGATTGCTTTCCAAAATTGGTGAGTCTTCTACAAGAGACGTTGCTGTCTTGAAAGAATCATCGTCGGATTCGTCGACATTTTTCTTTATTTCTGAAGATTTGAGTAGAAGATTGTTAAATTTATCTCCCAAATCTTCGATTTTTGGATACTTCTCATCAGTCTCTATTTTTTTGCATTTCGAGGATTGTTCAGCGGAATCAACAAGATCTATCATATTGATAATTTTAGGGATACTTTTTTGTTTCGTGTCGATTGTTGAGTTTTCGGAATCCAATTTCTCCTCCAGAACCATCAATTCGCTTGAGACTTTCGTTTTGCTCATTTTATGAATATTGTCTCGATTCCTTAATTCGGCAAAGAGGCTGTTGAATATTCCGCCTGATTCTTCTTGTGATACTTTTGCAGATCGCTCGCATGTATAATTTTCTATATCTTTTATCGAATATGTTTCCGTTGAATCCGGAAGAGAGCTCGGGCAAGTCTTCATTGTCATTAAATCGTAGACGTCTTGAAAATTGCCCGTAGTATCAACCTGCTTCCTATCTTCTAATGAAGAGCAATTGGGATTATTGCTCGTTGCAGCGTCCTTAATCTCCACTTTATTTTTCCTCGCTTCGTCCTCTCGTTGTCTTATAATCTCCTCGACCTTCAGTTTTCTCTCCTTAGTATTCCACCATTGCAATTTATCTTCGTTGCTCGTGGAAACCTTGGTCCCGGTTTCTTGAATCTCCCTATCATCAGTGGAATCAGTTTGCAGATTCTCGTCTACCATTTTTCTCCCGCCCCAGAATCCTTCCACCTCGCCGTTTTTAAACATTATCTTGTTTTCGTCAACAAACTTGTCCATATTGTCGCAAAATTCTCTCATTTCTTCGCGGATACTGCTAAGTTTAGAACCGAACGGATATTCTTTGTTTTTTCTTTGATAGCTCTTGATATTTTTGTTCGATGCATCGTCTCTCAAGCCGGTGACTGTTCCCGTGAGTTTCTGATTCTCTTCTAACATTTGTTTTAGATCCGATGTGTCGCTCGATACGGAACAGGTAGATGCTTTCTCGTTTTTGCGATCTATGAAAAACGGTTTCAAAAATATTAAGCTTTCAGTGTAAAAATTATGATATAAATTTTTTTTATATATATTGTGTTGAAAAAAGTTAATTAATTAACACGTAAGCTCTGCTTACCGTTTGTTTCATTATTTTCATTATCAACCGGTTTTTGTAAATCTGATATTTTTTCTTTTTCCGTTACTAATATTTTTTTATGATCAATGATTTCCCCATCGACGATACGACTGTCGAGTGGATCATGTATGCTCTTGCGATTGTCATCGGCAATGTATTGTTCCGATACTTCTTCGACCAACCTTTGCGGTTGAATTTTTTCTCGAGCCTAGACATGAAGAATAGATGAGCAACTTTTTATTCTTTTTTAAATCTGTATTCGTTACATGAAAAAACAAGGATCGCATACCTCGGCTTTCCAGGGCAACAGAAGCTCCTCGTTGTTTTCATCGGAGACTTTTCTCTCTTCCTCCGCCATTGGCCTCCTTCCGTCACTTTCCTCGTCTGCTTTTTGTCGCATACGTTCGTTTTCTTCGTCGCTCGCGAGCTCTTCGCCCGACGACGATGAGGAATCGAGAAAGGATCGCCCCTCGGACTTTTTCTTTCTCTCCAGGTCGAGCTTTAGAATGTTCATCGTGGTCGATATCATGGGTATAGAGAGGTGTGGGGTTTTCACGTGGTGAATGATCAAATAGTCGACGGGACCGATGGATGATGATATTATTCAAAGCACGAATTCTGTACCAGACCTTGACGAAACTAGTTCTTACCAGACCGCGGCTCCTCGTTGCGGTGTGCGCGCTTGACTTCGCGGCAACTTCTTCGTCCTTTTCTTCCTCCTCCTTCTCCTCCGTCTCCTTCTTCGTATCCACCGCCTCCTTTTCGGACGTCCCGACCGGTTTGCACAGCTTCCTTTTGTTTATCAGGGCTTTCGAGGGCAATCGACAGGTAAACAAAGGCCCCGAGATCCGGGGAACGGAACAGGTGAAAGGAGTCAAAGGGACCAAGAGCGGCCATTTCGAGTCCACCTTCGGGTGTCCAACCGAGAAGAATATTCTTTACTCACCCATGACACTGTCGTTGATCTTCTTCTGTTCCGCCTGGATCCACCGGTTCCTTTCGGCCATCTCCTCATCGGCACCGCCGCGCATCCTGGACCCAGAGATATTTTAAGGATAACGATACCCGTCTTTGCTGATACTCGTTTTTGCTGATTGATTTACCAAGCCTCGGCGCAGGCACGATCGCGCGGAAACACCGGCCGATCGTCCAGGTACTGTAGATTCTTACACTTGAGAATCATAGTCTTGCGGTACATCTTTATCTGCTTCAGCACCGGGTTGCCGGTTAACGTTACGACGCGCAGCGACTTCATGTCTCCCAGAATCTAAACAATCCAGCTCATGCTCGCGCTTTCGACGAACGTGATATCTCCACGTCTCACAAAGGTGTTTCGTAACACGATACATGTATGTGAAGTCTTTTATTTTTCGCATCGTTAAATTCAACTCGAGAAGAATTAATTAAGTGTAAACTCATATCAAGTTTTATAAACGTAATTGTAACATGATAATATCATGTTAATAATTTTTTAACTATCAACACGATATCTTGGTTTGGAAAAAATTAGAGGAGGGGTGAGTTTATAATAAAATTGTGTTTACATGTCATGCACGAAAATTTATTTGTATAACGTCACCTGCCGTTTCGGAAATGTATATATTCCGGTTATGCATCTCACGTGCGACGCGAGTAATTATCGACTTACGTCAACGACGTCGCAGGTGTCGATCTTGTTGTGAGAGATATCCAAGATGGAGAGCGCGTGCAGCAGACGGAGATGCTCGATGTCAGCGGTTTCTCGCAGATAATTGTGCGACAGGTTCAGGTTGTTCAGGAACTTGAGACCGTCTGAAAAGCAGAGGCACGTCAAGGTCAAGGTTACCCGGGATAATAATCGCTTCGACTCGAGTCACCGAGATTCTCGATTCTCCGTATCGTGTTGTGCGAGAGATTCACAGTGTCGAGCTTCGTCAGATAGTCGAGATTCTCGATCTTGCTGATAAGATTGTGATGCAGGAACAGGCACTTGAGCTCGCCCTGATTTTCCAGATTGGCGATCTCGCGTATACCGTTGCTCTCCAGCCACAGACACTTGAGACCTGTATATTTCTCGAGACTTTCGATGAAGGAGAATCCTGAAAGAAAGAATAGAAATTTTTCTGATTATCAGTACGATTATTAATCCCATCGTGCGTACCTTTGTAATGCAAATACAGAACGTCGTTTAAATGCGGCGTCTGATAGAGTCTCTGTTCCTTGCAGTGCTTCCTGATAAGTTCCTCCGTCATTCTAAAATCATTATTAATTGAAATGATATTAATGAAAATATGTATGATAAATTATTATTTTATAGACCCACCTAACGCCGTGCTTTTTCTCGTCGAAATCATATACCTTTCCCTTGATGTACGTTCTTTCCGGTTCCCTCAAATCTTCCAAAAAGGAGTCATCAGATTCTGAATCAACTTCGATTGTTGTTGTATCAGTCATTATTCCAGACATTTGATTTAATTCGTCGCTTATATTTTCGTCATTTCTAGATTGATTTGCAGTTTCTTTATCATTTTCTTCGTCGTTATTAATTTGTTCAGATTCAGACTCTAAAGTCGCTTGTTTAATTTTTTCTAAATCCGTAGCAATAATTTTTTGATATTCATCCATTAGTTTCTTGTGCTCTTCCATCTCATTCGCGAGCTCCTTTTCCAACTCCTCGATTTTTAAATTCTCGATTATTTCGACTTTCGTTAGAGGAACCTCGACGTTTCCATGATCGATATGAAAGTCATCGAGACTATCGGAATCGTTGGCGAAATCCTCAGGAATTTTAAATTCACAAGGATCTTTATCAGACGTATAAGAAATATCGTAACGATCAGCGATGAACTTGTCGATCTCCTCGAATTTCTTCGATAGTGTTTCCAACGAGTCTTTCTTTCGATCTTCAATTTTTCTTTTTTCTTCCGCTATCTTCTCCAAAGTTTCGTGAATCTCGATATGCGATTTAGGACGATCTGAACACGTGATCTCAGCTAACTTTTGCAGATTGCTATCAATAACATTCGATTCATTTTCCACATTTGCTAAACTTATCTTTGTATCCTTATTCTCAACAAAATTATTTTCTTCCTTATTTACTGTTTTGTATTCTTCATCATTGTTTATTTCTTTTGTAAATCTTTCCGACGAATTATCTCTATCATAATTCTCATTAACACTTGTCTCCGACACGTCACTGTACGGATTGTCAGTTAATATTTTCTCCGCCTCCTTGATAGTTTTCAGTATATCCTCTTTCGCTATGGCAGTATCAGAAACATCGCGAAAATGCGAGAAAAGTTTGTTTCCCTGAAATTTCTTAATCAAATATTCGCTACTCGATTCTTCGAAATCGGGAGTCGCATTTTCGCGTATCGGCGAATGATGCTGAAAATCTATGGAAACATTGGAACAGCTTTCGATTATCTTCCGCATCACGTCATCGTGATCGCTTTCCAATTCCGCAGATAAACTCTCTACCATTCGTTCCTCCGCCGAATCGTTTTGTTCGTCATCGTTTGTATACAAAAGATCCTTGATTATCTTATCCATTTCTTTTATTTCTGTAATTGTTCTTTCTACACTGTCTTCCTCAATGCTCAACGTTCTGTTCTCTCCCGTATATTTCAAAAGATCGACGGCATCTTTAAGATAACTCTCGTTATTATCTATATAATAATTGTTGGATTTTATACTTGAAACAGCTACATTCTCTATATCTATTTTTTCTCGAAAAGAATTTTCAATGTCGTTTATACAGGATTTACTATTCCGTTCAAGTCTGGTTTCTTTATCTTTAATCTCTTCCTCAATATTCTCACTTGGAACGCTTTTCTCAGCCATGATCCGCGAATCAACGTAACCGTCAATAATTCGTCGCGCAATTTCATCATTATTATCCTCTACATTTGTATTATTTAAAGAAATCCCTGAATCGACAAATTTTTCTCCGCTATGCTTAATTTGACATATTTTTTCGTACGTCGAGTCGACACTGCCGAGATATTTTGACAAAGAATTTGCGTATCGATCATCTAGCAGAAAATCATCTTTAATTGTCTTCTCGCTATCTTCGGAATCTTCTCCCTGGATTGTCGCGTCGTAGTATTCGAGATCGTCGTCCATGAAAACGACGTCGCAATCGCTTGTCATACTAGAATTGCAATAGGATGATTTTTCATTATTTAAATCGAACGTGTGATCGTAATTTAAGGAAACTCTTGGAGCATCGTCTTCATTGACGCCGTTTGTTGCTTCTATTTTCTCACTTCCGCATAAATTTTCGCATTTTTTTATTTCAAATTGCGTCTTCGCGACGAGATCCGTCGTGATGGTGTCTGAAACCTCGAGCATCGCCGGACAATCCCTGACAATCTTTATAAATACGAATTCATTAATTCGCTTCATTTACAAGCGCATAATTTTACAAGAAATGAAATCGAAATGCGTTTAACACTTTTTTTTTTTCCTAATAACATAAGCAAAGAGCACTATAATATATCATAAAAAAGTAAAATAAAGATTATGTAAGACATCTCTCTCTCTCTCTCTCTCTCTCTCTCACTTTTTAAAAATACTATGTAATATATTATCATTATATATTATTATAATATTATATATTATTATAATCTAATATAAAAAGAGATTTTTTGCAGTGTAATTTACCTTGCTTCCAGATGCAGAAGAGACATTCTTACAAGTAACAGAAACTTCACTTTTATCCTCTATTAGAGAACTGAACGAGAGATCACATGAATCATTCAACGCATTATTATCGCGTTTGAACGTGTCCATGATTGAAAACAGTTTTGCGATTGAATCTTTCTTTCTTTAGAATGTACGAAAACGTAAAATCTAAATTGTAGACTGCGAGTTGACGTGAGTAAAATCACTGAAAACAAGAGCGTGGCGCCATGGGCATCGTCAGTTATCGGTTGTTTAATCGATAGGGTTGACCATCCTCGCGCTCTTCAAGCCATACGTCACAGTTTATACTCATAAAGTGTATGTAGGGATCGTATACATTTTTCAATTTCTTAGACAGAGTCTTTAATCGAGAGAGAATAAAATACACATTACTACCAATATATGTACATATGTAGCCAGTGTTTGCTGTTGTCTAGATGAAGTTATCTAGATAAACATTTATGAAGCAATTGCATTATCATATTTATCTAGATAATAATAGAATGTATTATGTACATCTTTATCTTAGAAGGAAAAATGCGCCATTTGCCTTAAATTATTAGGTGTACAACTTTGCTTCCGCCGTTTTTTTTCCGAAATTCGAGGCTTTATTGTAAAAAACTGGTTATACATTTATGATTTTTATGAAGCAATTGCATTATCTCATCTTTATCTACGTAATAATAGGATGTATTATGTACATTTTTATCTTAGATGGAAAAATGCGCCATCTGCCTTAAATTATCTAAGATAATTGGAAGATAATGATTGCATCTAACAGAACTCGGCTCTTAGTAAGCGCTTTATAATTCTTTAATATGTTTGGTTCTTACATTTAGATCCATCGGAGAACCAAAGATAAGATGCAATCATATTAAAGAATCACTAAGCACTCATTGTTAGTGCGAAACTATAAAGAATAGACGTAAAGTGTGTTGCATCATACTGCCTTGTACATGGTATTTTCTATTATTTTCACTGCCGAATGTGATTTTTTTCAGTTCTGTGCAATTTCTCTATTAATAATATCATAGCGAAAGATAGAGAAATATTTAATAAAAAAGTCTGTAGGTAAATATATTTAAGTTGTTACATTTTACCCTTAATAATTTTTTTTTATAAAGCAATGTTATCTTAATATCATCTAGATAAAATGCTTCATAATTTCATCTATTATCTAGATAAACTTGAAATAAATCATCTTTATCTTATCTAGGATAAAATTTTATATGTCTTATCTTATCTTTATCTAGATGATTCCAATATTATCTATGCACAATACTGTATGTAGCAAATAAGAAGCATGAAAATTAAACGCGAAATTTTTTTATCTATTCGATCTTGCGCTCCGCGCGTTGTCCAATCTATCATCGGGTCAGTCGTCCTCGCGCTTTTCCGACGCGGTGGAAACCTTGCGTCGCGTCGCATTCGCATCTTAATGCGCGACTTGGAGAAAACACCAACGAGCAGATTGGCATAGATGATCGATCACGCGCGGCGGTATGCAAGCACAACGATATAGCCGGTTGGTTACGGGGTGTCTGTCGTCCCGCGATATCTATTCGTCAGCGATCTTCTTCTCTCGCTTTGTTTTCGTTGCGTCTCTGCGTATACACAACACACACGGGTGCCGCTTGTTTTTCCTCTCTCGGTTTCAGACGCCGCGCTCGCCCCTCGTCATCGTCCTCGTCGTCGGCTCGTCGCTAGTCGGCGAGAACGATGATGGTTCCCCTATCAACATAATCCAGCGGAAAAGAGACGCCCGGTGGCGATTCGCAAATGTGCCGCGCCGCAGGAGATCACGGGATGGGCAGCTCTGGGGATCGTGATAGCGGGAAATCGCGACGCACGCACACACTTTCACACACGTACAGCTCCTTGCGAGTCCCGTGCGAATTCTATCTCTTTCTCTCTCGCGCGCGAGCGCATAGATTGTCCTCTTTTATTTTTCCCCCTTCGAGACGCGACCGCACGGTCGTCTACTTTGCGAGGAGACGCGTCTTTTTGCGCAGCAGTTGCGACTTCGCGTATAGTGTTCTATGTAGAAAAGGTGAAAAGCCAAGAAAATTTAATCTAATTTAATCGACTTCATAGTTGTGAACGCGATACCGGCTTGGCAACCGAGTGTTGATGCAACGGTTTCGACTGCGCCAACCATTGTCGCAATTAATTAGTTCTAATTAACTATCTTTTTGGGGGGCTAGATTGTGGCAATCTTATTCAATTAATCTTTTTTAATAATGTTTTCTTTTTTTTTATAATGTTCAAAAACGTAAGTCTTATCGTTTGAGTAATGATTTTTATAATTTAATAATATATATTTTATATAAATTTTATTAATACTTTAATTTGATAAAAATAGCAATACCCCTTTTTATTAAATTTTTATTTGGGAAAACAGTATTTTTGAGATTTGACCAAAGTTTCAAATAGAAAAGTTTCCTATTTTGGCGCGCTGGATTCACCCCTTCTATTTGGACATGCAGACATTGGGACACCCTGTATAACCTTATTTATAGTATATGTGCAGAAAAAAAAATATATTTTTTAATTTAGATCGCGCAAGATCACACTATCATTGCTTCAAATGCAATTGGATTTTCTCTATGTTTCTCGATCGACCCTGCAATGCGTGATCGGTACAATAACGCGTGTCTTACGTCACAGTGGAACGCACTTTTTCGCGGGTCAGCTCGGTAGTGAACGGTTCGGTTTCGTTTGCAATGCGCATTCGCACATTATTGCGCCGTTGAAATCGTTAGATAGTCACAGGACGGAGAATTCTAGTTCTTGTTGTAATTATGAAAGTTTAAGGCCATGTAACAGTCGGTTATAGAATTCCAATGCGATATCGCGATGTGGTGTTATCTCGCTGCCTCGAAAGAAAGCTTCGATTAGAAATTTAGTTGGCCGGTTAATGACATCATTTACGCATAAGCATTATAATTCTTATCCGGATTATTCGCTGACATAGAAACGCGAGAAGCCTACACGGAAGTTACACGTGTACTTGACATCGCGTAATACGATCCCTTCAGTTTCGATTATCGCCACGCGAATAGTATTATGTTCCGGACGATCAATATTTTGCGATGTTCAATATTATTTAAATATTATTTAATTATGTAAATCGAAAAATTACTGCAATGTGCGTGCATAAAAAATAGCCCGATAC